AATAAAAACATTTAATTAAAAAAAAAAAAAAAAAAGTTAAATGAACCTCAAGAAAGATAGACACCAAAAGAAAATCACCAAGACATATCATAATCAAGCTCTCCGAAATGAAAGACAAGGAGATAATCTGGAAATCAGCTAGGGAAAAGAAGTGTTACTTACGAAGGCAAGCAAATCAGATTAAGTTCTGGTCTCTCAGCAGAAACCATGCAGGCAAGAAGGCAATGGGGAGACATATATAAAATTCAAAAAGATAAAAACTGCCAACCAAGCCCAGTTCTAAACCGCAATCGCAATGAGTTGGCTCTGTGAGTTTTCAGAACCAACATGTCTAGCAGAAACAATAATAAGCTGCCCATCAACCTCCCGCAGTTACAGAATCTGATCAAGCGGGACCCACCGGCCTACATCAAAGAGTTTCTGCAGCAGTATAATCACTACAAATCCAACGTGGAGATTTTCAAATTACAACCAAATAAGCCCAGCAAAGAACTGGCAGAGCTGGTGATGTTCATGGCACAGATTGGTCACTGCTACCCAGAACATCTCAGTAACTTTCCTCAGGAACTAAAAGATCTGCTTTCCTACAATCATACCGTCTTGGATCCTGATCTTCGAATGACATTTTGCAAAGCTTTGATCTTGCTGAGAAAAAATAATATAGATTAGAGCAGATATAAACAAGATAGAAAACAGAAAAACTACAGAAAGAATCAATAGGACAAGAAGCTGGTTGAAAGATTAATAACATTGACAAACCATTGGCAAACCTAACAAAAGAGGGAAAAAGACACAAATGATACACATAAGAAACCACCTGGATGATGTCACAACAGAACCAATGGAAATAAAAAGGATAATAACAGAATACTATGAAGAGTTGTACTCCAACAAATTTGAAAACTTAGAAAGAGATGAACACTTTTTTTTAAGAAAAACACAACCTACCTAAACTTACATGGAGTGAAGTAGAAAGCTTGAATAGACCCATAACAAAAGAAGAAACAGATCAGGTCATAAAAAACTCCCAGCCAAAATAAGTCCAGGTCCATCCAGATGGCTTCACTGGTGACTTCTACCAAACATTCAGGAAGTGCTGTCACCAATTCTACTCAAATTATCCCAGAATATAGAAGAGAATGGAAAACTTCCTAATACATTTTATAAAGCAAGCATAACCCTCATA